TTTTTTAGGAGAAAAACTGTCGCTCGTGGGAGAACGTATGTGAAAGATAGGAGCAGCATGCTGCTGTGAATGTTGACGGCAAAACAAGGGAGCCCATCGCGATTAAAAGCTTTATCTGAAGGGCCACACGCGGAGGAGACAGCAGAGTCGCGATAGCATCCCGAAGAACCGGAGATGCGACCATGATGCGCCCTTGCTGTGACGAAAACAGAGGAAACCACCACGGTCGTCAGCAGTCGGTTTTTAGGTTGATATGAGGAAGAACGTGACAAGGTCGCGTGGCCTAGGACCATAGGTGAGGTAGAGGCGACTGCAGACGCGATCATTGCAGTTCGCATAGTGAGGAGGCAGCGCGAATATTGGCTATGCACATATTCCATAAGGCACAGCTTGGTTCAGAAGAACATAATAGCTTGGCAGTCGATACAGTCGGCATGGAGAGCGAGGAGATCAGATACCAATGTCTAGGTTAAGATAACGTCGTATGACCACTAACATCCTTTAAACAGCAGTTTGATAAATTCACGGCGTCAGTGAACTTGTCTATTAGTCTACTTGCTGGTAAACCATCGCGGCTACGGCTGACTGACGGCACAACCAAGTCGCGAAGGCTGAGTCCTGGTACTCCAAACGTCAAGTAAATTATATCAGAGCACGAAAACGCACTCTAACATGACTGTCAGTAATGGCATTTAAATGGATTCTCTTGTTAGTGCTGCCATTTTTGGTTAATTTTTGAGCCAAGGAGCTCTGGATGAAAATTTCAAATAAACAATCCGAGCAGCTATTGGATATCCGTCTGTACCGAAGATTCTTAAGACAGGTCACAAAAATTGCGGCTGGTTGGATTAGTGACGTTTAATGATTTTCATATTATTTGGTGGATATCGGATGGGTTAAGTTATAATGTAGGAAATAAATCCAGTCGGTTGGACAGAACCAATTACCGTACATAGTTTTGGTCAGAATATTAAAACACAAAGCATATTTAGAGCGCTTTTACATCGGCAACGACAAAGAAAGATAGCCAAGATGGCATCGGCGACCATATGCGGGAAAGAGACAAAAGTAGCATACGAATTCTTTACGCGCAGTAATAAGCAAACGGATGCCTATAGCTGCATGGAATTTCAAGAATCCTCGTATATTCATTCCAGTCTTAACAGGGAGCACACACAGAGTGGTGAAAAAAATGTGGAAAAAGAATACCAACTAGTGTGCACCACATGTGTAAACTACGTAATTTCGAACATGACCAGAAATATGATGGCAGTAGCAAACTATATACACAGGTTGGAGAACATACAACATAGAACCGACTGAATAGCAAACGACGTCATAAGTACACGAAGGGCGAATCACAGCCTACCTAAAGTCGTGCAATGGGTTTCGAACTTTCTAGTTTTTAACTCACCAGAAGGTTTTCATCGGCATCAATCACTTTGGCTGAGCAGGGCGGTTGCACGTCTGTCTTGGCTTGGATATCTGTAAAAGCCGAACTTGGAGAATGCGAAGAGGAACGAAGAACAGGTGATGAAGGCTGCAGCATTTCTTGGACTAAAGGCGAAGAAAAAGGGAAGGATGGGTGGGTGGGCGGTTTTCCACAATATACTTCGTGAGGAAACTAAAGCTAAAAATGTTAAAGAGGATAACATCTAACGTCCTAAGTTAAGGCTGAAGCTATAAGTTTCTTTTTGCGTTTCTGTTTGAGATTCAAAACAAACAAACGTAGAGAAGGAAAGGGGGTGGAAAAATGCTAGTCAACTGGTGTGACGAGATCGGGTCGTAAACTTCCAACTGGCCTGCCGTGGAGTGTTAGTGGGGATTTATGTTAAGAATATTTTCCTATAAATAGTAGAAATACATTAAAACCACCGAATTAAATTCGGAAAGGTTTTCGGACAGGGGACTTAAGCCTCTCCATCTCCAAAGTCCGAGTCGCTTAGCCTTACTGGGATGTAAAATAAAGTGCTTTATTTGTTTGCCTGAAAAATAACCAGATGGTTCTGATTGATTTTCACGCGACGGGGTAAATGTTCGTAAACTTGAGGTTATTTCATGCCGATGTTGAAGGCTAGCTCCTTGTACAGTATGCTAATCTAGGAGCCGCAGTCGTCTGAGATATCGAAATCATCATATCTTCTAAATCGCCATCAATCATGCTCACAAGTGCACTTCTAGTGCACTTTTTGCATTATTCAACAGAATCCAAGCGAAAAAAGTAAGACACTTTTTAACTTGGATGAAATAAGACGCTGTTTTAGAAGAGAAAGGTGTGTACTCATAGTCAGACACGGTGCGTGCCAAGTGTATCTTTAAGCAGTTTTGTAATTTACTTTCTTCCTTCTCAGACTGTGTGAGCGTTGCGGTGGAGGTTTGGACCATAGGTCCTTCGATGATGATTAAAATATCCCGAAAATTGACATTATGGAACTCTAAAGAAAGTGTGACGCTTCAGCGAGGTCAGTTGCACTGGTCTGGCTATTTAGCCCCGCAATTATGGGAGTGACAATTAAGCTGAATGTTAGCTCGCTGACGTCTGCGAGGACGGTAATAAACAGACAGCCCAACAGGCAAAGAACGAAAGCGCTACAGAAAGCAAACTCAGCCCATTATCGGTTGCTGGTTGGTGTGCCCATTTCGGACATCAATGCTGAAACCATAGCGGAGGCATCTTTGGAGCAATGACTGTCCAATCTTGGAGTTCGTACGACCGTAACGAAGGACCGAGACCATGTTGTTTTGTTAGCTTAGCACCCACAAGACTTGAACGGCTGCATATTGTCCCAAGGTAAATGGCCTCGGTGAATTTTTTCGACAGCTCTAATAGTCCAGCTTGATCCCTGCAGATGATCCGAAAATTCCTCGCTACTTATGTTAGCCTTCCGGTCCACTCTAAAGGCAGGCATTGGGTACACTACAGTTGACATGTT